GGGGACTCGGACGGATGAAGGGGGATCATTCGTAGGTGGTGGCCAGGCAGCCGATCGAACGACGCCGGGCGAATATGGATCGAAGTCGGCGGCGGTCGCGCATGACGCGCGAAAAGCAGCCGCGCGGTCGTCGCGACGCTCCTCGCGGCTCCACGCAACAAGTCCTCTCGGTCGCGCGAGCGTAGTTACGTGGAACAACCTAAAAAACGTGGAATGCACACCGCGCGCGCGAGAACCGGCTGCTCCCTCCTCCTTCCTTCCTTCCCGCCGCTCTGCTCTCCCTCTTTCTCTCGCTCGCTCGCTCTCTCTCTCTCTCGCTCTCTCTCTCTCGCTCTCTCTCTCTCTCTCTCTCTCTCTCTCTCTCTCTCTCTCTCTCCCCCTCTCTCTCTCTTTCTCTCTCTCTCTCTCTCTCTCTTCCTCTCCACCGTCTCTCGCTCGCCGTCGCAGCGGCGTTTCACCGCTCGCTCTCTCACTCGGTCGTCGAGGAAAAACGACTCTATGTACCCGTGGATGCGCCCGACGGCGCGGTGCGGTGCGTGCGGTGTGTGATGCGATAAGATGCGGTGAGGTGAGACGCGCGGTGAATAGCGTGCGTGACGGTAAGGTGAGGCGATACGCACGCCCATCCGCTCGGCCAATCGCCGCGCGCTACGTCATCTCGTACGATGTAACGGAGCGAGTCACCCACGTGGTTGAGCGTGCCGACGTGCTATTTCGGTAGCGAGATATTCGCCGCGGAGATCTCGCTGAAGGGACCGATCTAGAATCGCTTTTCGGACGCGCCGCTCGGAAAACATTATTCTTCCCCCCACCCCCCCTCCCTGCTCGCTGTCCTCGCTTCACGCTCCGTCGCGTCGTCGCGCCCCGTCCGAGGCGTTAAAAATGAACGCGCGTGTGTTTAATTATCGAGAAAGCCGGTACTCGCCCACACTCGCGCAATAACGCGCAGTATCGCGGAGGGCTGATTTAATTTGGGAAATTTGCGCCGGGGAAAATTCCAGGGAGGGGGTAGGGGGATGGTTACACAGTCGCACCGCAGCCGAGAGATTTTCCGTTAATTGCAAACGCGTGCGCGATCTAAAAATGACGCTCGGGATTGAGGGCGCGCGAGACGAGGGGGAGGAGGAGGCTACATTCATACAGCGCAAACTGTCCGGCAAACAAGTCAATTATCTACTAGTCGTGTAATGGTTTCCGTAACGTGTAGCGTGCTGAAGCGACGCACAAGTGTATGAATGATAGCCGACGATGACGCGGTCCGGCGATGACGCGCCTATCGATCGGATCAATACATAACTATTGTCATTAGCGCGTCATTTAAATCCCTTATCTGCGGCTTGAGACTGTCTGCGAGCGAGCGAGAGACAGCCGATGACCAGACGCAATTAATATTTAGTGCCGTGTCCGCAGAGTATCGCTGTCGCGATTAGATAACCGGAAGCGCAGCCGATTCACGGCTCATCTTGTTTATTCGCAGTTGCGAGATACGGAGCGGACGATATGCGGAGTGAATGAATTCAAGGCCGGCGCGCGCCTCTCGCCGTCGTCGTTTCTTCCAATCTTCGACAGACGTAAACATCAATTTGCAGAAAAACGTCACGAGCGCGAGAATAATCATCTGCGCGTCTAGCGCGCACTCGCAGTTAGCGCCAAACGCACGCGCGAGCGCGAACGCGCGTCGTCACAAGTGCCGTCGTCGTCGTCGTCTGCGTTTCTAACGCAGACGGTTGTATTAAATTTGGAGCGCGAGAACATCGCAGATCATCTGCGTCGGTGTGTCGGTCCCCGAGGTGCGCTTCCGTTCGCGGACACACGTGTCGGCGGCCGTCTATTTTGAAAACGCCCGAGGCGGTCACTTAATTGAGCGATGTGTTTGTGTAAGACCGCTTAAATCGGTGTGTATGTGTGCGATGTATGCGCTGTATATGTTAATCCGTCATCTCGGATACCAGCACGTATGCGTCCGTCCTGCCGTGGAATTTTAGCGGAACGTATAAATTTTGGATTTTTATCGAGCCATCCACAACACCGCGCGCGCGTCTCTCCCTCACTCACTTTCCATCCTTCTCTTTCTCTCGTCCTGCCCCCTCCTCCCTCTCTTTCACTCTCTGTTTATCTCGCGGTCTGGCTCGCAAATTCCATTTGGGTAATTTTGGCAAAATATTACTATATCTGTCGTAAAAAAAAAAAATTGTCGCGCGTAATGCCGCGCGATAAAAATTAATATTTATATTTTTCCTAACTCTTTTTCATCACTGCGCACGTTTGAATGACATTCATAGAATTTATTTTATTTTCCCTCTCCGAATTCTGCGCAACCTGTAATTATATGCACAATCGAGGGGAGGGAATGGATTCGTAACGATCTCGGCTTTGACTCGCTTTCGAAATAAACGAGCGAGCGAGAGAAAGAGAAAGAGAGAGAGAGAGAGAGGAGAGAGAGAGAGAGCGAGAGAAAGAGAAAGAGAGAGAGAGAGAGAGAGAGATGCACGACCGTCGAGTTCTCCACCCTAACGTGGATGTCTCTGAACCCTCGATAATCTCGGGACATTGCGTCGTCAAGAATATGGCTGAGAGAGGAGAATGCGGAGAACTTGTTCACGACCTAATTAGATAAAGCTTGGGGCGATACTTAGCGGAAGAGCCGGCGACACTGAGAATTTTTGCCAAACGCTCGCTGCGAGCGAGCAAACGCCGGCGCGAACGGTATCAATCTCCGTTCCAATTAAGCGCTCCCAATTTTACAGCGCGGCTAATTACCCTTCGCGCGGCCCTAAAGTGAGGCTGCAAGCGAGGCTGCTCTCGCGGAAACATTTCCCATCGCGGAAATTTTCCCGCTCTTTCTCTACGACCGGTTTCCGAGCTTCCGAGATCATCGGTTAACTTTAACCGCGTTTTTAACCGATTCGCGCTCGTGCGAATCCTGGAGAAGAAACCTCCTCTTTTCGTCGCGCGAAGAGAACCAACCGAAGTAAAGGTTAATTCCTTCCTTCGGCTAAAATCGCGGACGAGGGCGGAGGAAGTGCCAGGGGAGGGGGGAGAGAAATCAACTCCTTCCGCGGTGGAATCAATCTCGGGCACAAAATTCCACCTTCCGGAAGATCGCGACGGAGTGTCCGTTTCGACGGGAAGCAAAATAACGCGTGACAACAGGACACTTTTCAAGCGAACACCCAGGCAAATCGCCCCTTCGTATTAGCAAACTTTTCGCAATTTCATCGAAACTTGGCATCGGCCGGCTATTTTGGCGCGCGTTGAAGCTAACCGATTGACATTGACGTGTGCGGACGTTGAAACGAGCGAAACTCCCGGTGTGGAATTTTTGCACCAATTTCACGCTCACCCTCCCTCCTTCTCTCTCTCTCTCTCTCTCTCTCTCGCGCGCGCGCGCGCGCTCTCTCGTCTCTTTCGACGTTTTTATCGTGTTTTAAGAGACGCCGCGCGACGACGTCATCGCGTCGTCGCGCGTATCTCGCTTAAATCTCTACGCCGATTCTACTCTTCCTCCTCTTTCGCCTTCACCGCCTGTTAGGTACTTGACGCGGCGTCCTTGACCTACGTTTCGCGTAAGGCATCGTTTTTCGCACTTTTTTGCGACACACTTGGAAAGTGATGGCGCGAAGAGAGAAGAAAAACGCCGAACGCACGCGCGCGCGCCTTTCGTTCCTGGCAAGTTCAGCGGTGCGATTAATGTGGAATGTCAGCCGCCGTTAGACGTAATATTTTCGCTATATTTAGTCGCCCGAGTGGCGCGTGCACGCGACTCGCGTGCGTCTTATCGCAACGCAAAAATCACGGTGCGGTCGATAATTACGAGTGCTAGTCATATTTGGTTCTTATCGATCACGACGGCGGCAGCATGAAGACATCAGAAACGAGCGACGCGGCGCATATAACCTTCGCAAAAATAGCGTCCGAACACGCCCGAAATCGCACGCACACGGCGACTCGCCGAGGATCGTCCTGCCGCCGACTACCTCGCGAATTATCTTCTACCTGATGACCAGCGAATTAACATAACAATCGTAAACATGCGCGCTCGCGCGATTCCCGCAGAATCGTGTCCGTGTTGTCTACGGGGGATGCACTCACTCGCTCACTCCCTCACTCACTCACTCACTTCCTCACTCATTCACTCACTCACTCACTCGCTCTGCTCTAATCTACTCTCTCGCGTCCCTTTAAGCGGCGCTTGAACGTACGTCGGATCTGAACACGGTATAACGCGAACGTCACGGCGATGGAGCGCGATACACGTGGCAACAACAATGATCATGTCAAGGAAGTTCTGGTCAGGTAGGGAAGTAATCTGTGGACAGAGCGGTTGGTAAGGCGAGAGCTAACGAGAAACTCGATAACAACTTTGTTAAGACGCAAAACGGTAGAATGAGGGAAATCTCAAACGATCCGCCATTACACGAGAGACCTCGAGAGACCGGTCATTCTAATATCGTTACGTCGGTCAAATAAATACACTCACGTTCCAACGTTCTCGAGATACCTCGCGTTCTAAAGTTACGAGAGAGAGAGAGAGAGAGAGAGAGAGAGAGAGAAAGAGAGAGAGAAAGAGAGAGAGAGAAAGAGACTCAAGCCGCTCTCGTTCGTCGGCCGACGTATTCCTCGGCAAATCCGCGGGAGTAAGCGCCGAACGGTAAGAGCGGCGAAAAGCTGCACATGGCGCGTACATTAATCAGACTTAATCAAGGCGAAATTCAAGCCGATCGGTAGTCGAGCATAAGTGCAGAAAAGAGAGAAGGAGCGAGAGAAAGAGAGAGAGAGAGAGAGAAGCAGCGAGAACGTCGCACCCGTAAAATTCGAATCGAGACACTCGGTTGTGATTGGTCGGCTTGAGTTATCGTGCGATTCTACCACCTACTTACGTCGTCTCGTACCTACCTACGCACCTACCCGCCGCCTAAGTCGGATGTAAAAACAAGCAGTGTCGCGATCCGATCTCGCTCGAAACGTCACTCTCGGGAAAAACACAAAATGTTACTCACGAGAATACAGGGCGGTCATCAACAGCGCGAGCCAGGACAGCTGATTCTCCATAGGTGTTTTCATGTTCCAATCCGCTCAGCTCCGGCTCAATTTTTTTTCTCTCTCTCTCTCTCTCTCTTCGGCGTGGATCTGGATCCGACGGCGCGCAGACTGATCGCGGGGCGAGAGATCGGCCACGAAGAATCGTCGTGTCGCACTCTGGCGAACTCGAGCGAGTTTCGAATTGTCCGGCGAGATGCTGCGCTAACGGCCGCCGAGAGTACGAGACGCCACGAGAGTGTTGTCCTTCGGCGGAGACGCGAGAGCGACTGTAGAAAGTAGCGAATGTGCCGGAGTGGTGCGGTGCGCGCGCGCGCGCGTTAAACTGGCTTGTCTGTGACTCTCTTTCAGTCTCTGTTACGTTGCGAACGCGTCCGTGCGGCGTGGCCAACGTCCGATGCGTAACGCGCGAGCGACCGTGCACAACTGACTCGCCGCGACTCGCGGCCAACGTCAGAGAGAATGCCCGCCGAGTTTCGAAGCACTCAGCGCGCATGCGTGTATCGCTCACGCCACCGCTCTCGTGAGTATACCGTGCGTCTCTCGCGCCGCGCATCGTCTCGTACACCTTGGTCGCGCTGGCGCCGATGTTATTACGGCATCCGTACAACTGGCGTGAGATTTAATAATCGAACCCTTACGCACACATGTGAGATCACGTTTGACGCAGGCGGCGACGAGAAGGAAACAGTAGGGGGAGGAGGGGAGAGAAAATGACAGACGTTTCGCGCGCTTTTTCGCCGAACGGAAAATGTTCCGGCGAAGCTGCACGCTTTTTGCTGAAATTCGTCAACGCGAGATAATCATGCACGCTCGCGCTCGCGCGAGAAATGTCAATTCATTATGTGCGCGATGACACTCTTTTCCTCGAAGGCGGAGAATCGTCAGCAAGTCAATTTCGAGAGGCGAACCGTCATTGGTCGCGAGATAGCGAGAGTGTCACGTGTTTGCATTCATATTGAAATGTAATCGATAATGACCTCTCTTTCCAGCCGGAAAAACGAATCGCTCAGTGTGCGACGAGCAGCTCACATTCGCTCGGCCCTAATCGCGCAAAAAGTATCGAAAGAACGAGTGTAGGAAACAAAAAGAGGCGCAACTTTAGCCTTCCACGCGCCACTCGCCCAGTACAGATCGTATACACGCGACGTCGCGCAGCGCCCAAGATAGATAGAATTTCGGAAAACCATTCTCGAATCCATTCCCCGGCACGGAAGATCGCGCGGGATAGAAAAGAGTCTTGCTCGATTTTCATTAAAAGTTTCTTAGCGTTACCGGTATGTACGAGTTTTCCAACTTTGCCGGCGCCATTCGTAGAAACTCGCTTCTATGAACGAAGCAGTAAAAAGCTTCGTTCTCCGCTTCAATGTTTCGTCGAAAGCAGTTCGCTCGCGTTTCGATGTATGTACTTAGCTTTCATAATCGCCATACAAATTACCTCACAAAGCATCCGCGCGTGCGGCGGTATCCGGTGCGGATGTTCTTGGATATCCGCTTAACCCCTAAATGGGTAGATTTTATCCTGGCTTTTCTCATATCGTATGCTTTTCTAAAAATTTCATGCTTTTAATAAATTATTTTCCCTTTCTCTACTCCTCTCCCTCTCCCGCTTTCTCTGCTGCCTCTCTACCGACGCGAAGAGATCTCCTCCCCCTCCCTCCCTCCCTCCCTCCCTCTCTCTCTCTCTCTCTCTCTCTCTCTCTCTCTCTCTCTCTTTCCTTCTCTCTTACGGCTTAAAGTGTCCAAATATATAACCTATATTTTATATTCAATTTGAATTCGGTGCATGCTTCATCTTTGCCGAAGCGACTTTTACATTTTAATACCGACGTAGGAAACGCCCGGAGTCCCAAGTTGCATGACTTAAAAGGGTATATCCCGGATTATGCGAGTCGGAGTTGAAAAGGGAACGCTAACACTTACCACCGACAAAGTTCTCTCCTTGTCGGGCTGTTAACACATATCGTATCCTTTTATAGATTCTAATAATTCGCGTGAGTAATGAAGGAGAGAATGAAAATTCCGGAGGAATTGCTTGGGTGGCGTTGTTGGACCACGCCAAAGGCAGCGTAACGACGTCTGCTCCAAGGACATCGTTGTTCGAGCCAGCTAGGATAAATAAAGGAATAATAAGAAATGAAAAGCGGAGGGTCCGGACGTGCAGTACGATCCAAGCCATTAATTCAGACTAGAAAGAGGCAACGACGACGACGACGACGACGACGACGTCTGTGCGAAGGATACCGTAGCTTAGCACTGCCCGCACATGGATCAACGGCGAGCCACGAATCTTTGAGATTGAAATCCATGCAAATGGACGGTCCACGTGCCGTCGCCGCCGAACCATTTTCAAGGATTGGAGGGTAAGGGACAGAAATAAGCAAATAAAAGGCGACGACGACACCAGGGTGGCGAGAGACGTGACCGCCGCGGGAACGGCGATGCCGAATGACGCACGTCGATGAAGCATAACGTTGGCGCAGGATGGCCGTAGCAAAAATGGGGCAAGGATCAAAGGAAAGAAAAGTCGCAGAGGGAGTTGCGATGAATTCGCGCGCTCGCTCGCTCGCTCGCGAAAGGCACGCTCCGCGACTCGCGTTCGCCGCCAGGAATGATCAAATTAACATCCGCCGAACGCTCGAGTTTAATTATTAATTTCGCGAGATATTATCATACGGGAATAATATATTTTTCTATGAAAATGTTAAACCTCCTTGGCTCGCATCGTATTCGGTGCGTTTTTCACGTATGACTTGCGTGTCGTTTACAACGTCGTTATTCGCTGCAGAAAGGAGAAAGAGGAAGAGAGAGAGAGAGAGAGAGAGAGAGAGAGAGAGAGAGAAGAAGAAGCCGTACCGAGAAGAATGCATAAGTAATGGCGGAACGCATAGATTTTTCAAAATACGACAACTTGATTTCCCAAAATGGAAACGCGCGCGCGGAGGAATGTATGCGGAACTGAATTTCACCGGGTCGATTTGCAATTTCGTGGGCCGGGTCGCGACATTAGGAGAGAAAATTAAGTGATCCGCCGGCTAATTGCAGCCGGTGCACTTTGCGCATGACCTCTCGCGCCGAGAGAATGCGCGCGCGCGCGCCACCTCTCTCTTTATTCCCGAGTAATATATATTTATATATTTATTTAACATGAGAATTCTCGTTATACAATGTGCGCTCGATCGCATCCGTAAACTCCGCGATCCGACATAAACAAATTTTTTTCCCGTATGCTGTACGGATCGATGAGTGACGCACACACGATCCTCACAATAAACTCCACATCGTGGATTCCGCGAATTACGAGTGTTTACCAACAATATGCTCATTCAACAGTACGATCATCATTCGAGGAAGGTCGATCGGAAACTCGTAGAGCGCCGTCACGGTAAACTGCACGGAATCGTCGTCACACGCACGCACGCACTCGCACACTTGACCGGAGCGGAATATGAAAGTTATTGTAATACCACTTTGCCATTCGCTCCCGCACTCACTGTTTAACTTTCATCAGTGGCCTGATACCTTTGTGGTATATCATCTGCAAGCATTAGCATCAAATTGAATCTACGTCAATGCCTGGGACTCGTAGAAACGCGTGTCTCGGTGGGGTAACCAGCTACACATATATATTTATATATGTATATGATAGCGAATCGCTCTTTCTCTCTCTCTCTCTCTCTCTCTCTCTCTCTCTCTCTCTCTCTCTCTCTCTCTCTCTCTCTCTCTCTCTCTCTCGAATATTTCCGCGCGTCTTTATTCCCCCCTCCTCCCCCGCCCCAACGCTTTTTTCCGTTCCATATTCATCGATCGCTCTCCTCGAAACTCCGGCTACCCCGGCCACTCTCCGTCGATTGTCCGCCTTTTCCTCGCCCTCGCCGTCGATTTTCACCGCCGACCGACGACGAGGACGAGGACGAGGGCGAAGGCGACGACGACGATGATGATGGTGATGTCTCTTTAACATCGATCTCGCGGAGAGCGCTGAAATAACTGACATCCTTCGCGCACGAAACGGCAGTCGCGCGCGCGCGTCGCAGTCGTTAAACGCGGTCTTTCGGCTTCTAAGACAAATTTTATTCGTTTCGACAAGAAGACGTCACCCGACTCGTTCCTCCTCGCGTCATGTGCGTTTCTTTTGCTCCCTCATGCGCGTGTTTGGCTCATTTTTTCTCGATAACAGCCACTCATCGCCGAATGTTTTTTATCGCTTTATTTATTCCGAGTGTACACAACCGCTGCGTGCAAGAATTAATTAATAAACATCGCCCGGGAATATCAATGTGACCGATCGGCAGGCGAATGCGCAGCGAAAACATTATTCTCATCTCTGGCGACAAAAGTGGAGCGACGGGAGCGGAGAGAGGAAGAAGGAGGGGGGAGGGGGGTAAAATAAAACGCGGAGCTTTCTGTCTCCTCTCCTTAAGCCAGGCGGCTCCTCGGCGAGTCGTCGGGCCTTCGGTGGGCGCTCCTCAGGGCGCCGTTTGCCGAAAAAGGGCGAGCCCTTCTCTCGTCCTTACCCTTCGGCGCGCGCGCGCGATCTCTAAGCGCGCCAACGTGACGTGACGTTGCGATTCGACGGGGCTGAGGGAGACGACGCGCGAGCGCGTAAAACTTTCTCGGGGAGACTGAATTACGTCGCGGCTCATTTAGTTTTCTCGGTGCAGCCATTGTCGGCGACGCGACACCGAACTTCGCCAATTGGAATATTTAAAGCCCCAGCGACGCGCATTAACTACCCGGAGCCCGAAAGTAATTTTGAGGCTTCCCTTGCAATATGCACGAGGGGACAACCGTCTGTGACGCGCTTTTGTACACTCGACCAGCCGCTATTCATGAGTGGCCAGCGGCTCGAGTAATCGTCCTAGAATGATGGTCCTTTCGCCGACTTAGAGGACGCGATATTGACATTCGGCCGGCCGCCCCGCGCGCGCGCTCTCCGAGCGATTCGATTTGGCCGAAAAAACGCAACGGCAGCTCCGTCGCATATCTTTGCGATCTTTGCGATCGATCAGACGAAGCGGGCGGGCGAAATCCCGAATTAGATGATCGCGCGCCCAGTGACGAATGAGCGATGGGAATACGGGACTTGTTTGCGCGGCGGGGAAGGCCACGTCAGTTATTCCAGCCGAGCCCGACGCGTCAGTTCCAGGGATCGGGTTGGGGCTTTGTTTGTATCTCGCTGATGATACCGATATCCGTCGGCTTTGCAAAATCGAGTAAGGACGTCGAGTCGAGCGAGTCAACCACCGTGAATACCTCGAGGCGGTCGTCGTCGCGCTTAAAGGTCGAGCTCGTCAGTCGCCCGCCCGCGCGACTGTTCTTCGTCATGGCGGTACAAATTCGTCCCCTCGACGGTCTACGACCGACCAAACTGAATTAAACGAGTTCCATTGAGCATGGGAAATCGGAACTGGTGCACCGTGCGCGCGAAACAAGGGAGAGAAAGGAGAGAGAGAGAGAGAAAGAGAGAGAGAGAGAGAGAGAGAGAGAGAGAGAGAAAGAGGGGATGGGGTGGTAATAGAGGACTGGAGAGATCGCGGGCGCGTATGCGCGCACGGCTTAACTCCGTTCTATGCTTTATGACTGTAAAGTTCCCGCTAATTCTAACTTGCGAACTCTTTTTCAGTGGCCCGAAGACAGACAGAAATATCGTCGCAGAAGTTTTTTGATAAGCGCGTCTCGGCAAACGCCGCGGGTGCCTCGCTAAAAGGCGATTAATCCTCGCGCGCGCGCGCGCGCGCGCGGAGGGGTGAGATTTTGACGGATAGGTCCCTCGCTTTCGCGCCGTGATAGACGGCCCTCGTGATAGAGTCGTGATGATCACCGCGAGAAAGCGAAAAGCGAACGAATCCCGGCTCTTGTTTTGTTTGTCGAGTTTGTACTCGCTTTTTGCGATTAACCTTTTCGCCAAAATATCGTCACGTGTACGCACGTTTAATTTCATTTGTCTCCTCATTTCGACAAAATGCAACCGCGAATGTATGCTACCGCTGATAGAAATCATTCATCGCGAAATTCGATAAAAGAAACAGAAATATTTGACCCATGGTTGTGTCACTTTGATATTTTTCTGATTTTGACAAATGCCGAAGAAGTTGGTATAACCATATTCGCGACATGTTTGCGATATTATTACATACAGACTCACTGGAAATGATTAATTATTTCGCGATCGAATATAGAACCGACTCCTATTTATAATTCCACGTATTTTAGAATTTAAAATATTTAGAATAGACGTCTAAAAAACTCGATTGGATTTATTATTATATAAGGCTAGTTTTTAGAAATTCGTCTTCTTTTGTATTAAATAGAATTCTAATCTTCCGAATATTCTTTCCTTTCTCGAATTGTAAATTACGAATAAAATTATAAAATTATAGATTGTCTCCCGAGTGAATTTTGGGCGTATATTAATATATTTTAATGTAAGCCACGAGAAAAGTACGACGTTATCGCATATATTTCTCGTCGAAGTCTCCAACGTTACTCCGAAAAAATAACACGGCTTCTCGTGGCTTCGAGTGGTAATCACATTCAAGAGATGGTCGCGAATTGATCCACAAAACGAGAAGATAAGTCGGTATCGCCGGGAATAAAGTTTCGGAAAGCACAGTTCGCCTACGGACTCTGACAAGACGAACTCTTAAATCCGAAATTTTCAATGCGGCTGAAAGTTGGCGAACATTCGGAGGGATCGCGGGATGCGAGTTTAGACGCATCCGTCCCGCGGGAAAACGCGATCCGTGCGAGTCGACCTTTAAAGACAGTCGACATAATTCGAGGTGGTCGCCGCGCCGTACCTCCGATATTTTGATAAGCGCGGCAAACGTCGGAACAATGTTCAAATAAAAATTTTACAATTCTCCCTCGGTGCTCGGGACTTTTATCGATATCCGGCGTAGGTACATGATAACACAGAAAACACAGAGAGACCGGCGATATATTCGCCGGTCGTCTGTATATTCCTCCATAAAAATTTACAATACACCTTAAATAATAATCGCGAATCCACAACGGAGAGAGAGAGAGAGAGAGAGGTATTTTTCCGCGAATTTAAGAGATCGACTGGCTCTTGAATAACAATCACGAATCCTCGATGAGGGAAATTAGAAAGAGAAGAGACATTCTCGTCTGAGGTGAATTAGATGGATGAATAAAGTGAAGTGATGAACGAGAAGGGCAAAATTTTGCCTCCCGTCGGAAGCGTCAAGAAGCGCATCGCATCTCGCGCGTGATGAAAATTCAATACGATACAAGAAGAAAGAAAAAATACATTTGGCGCGCGCGCGCGCGACGAAATATTCAACCGCCGGAAATTCGAGCGGGGCTTGGTGAGTCTAAATCGTCACCGCTCGTATCGCCTTGCTCGATCGTAAATCCGCCGCCGATGATCCGCACTTTTCCGCGGGCTTTTTCTACGCGACACGCTCGGTCTATTTCGACGACAGTTTCGACGGCATACTTGAAATCCGATCCCGCCACATAACGTAATACCCCAAAGCACTCGCGCAATAATGGAGCCATCGTGTCACTCGGCCGGCGAAGGCACACGCGGCGGAGTTTCAAATCGAAATAGTCGGGAGGGTAGGGGTGTGGGTATGAGGGCGGACGGGCCACAGAGGGAGGGAGTAGAGGGGGGGCGAAGGGTGGCATCCCCCGGGACTGAGAAATCCGGTTCTGGGCAAACTGTCTTGCGAGTAGTTCGTCGGATAGTTTCAGATCCAGATTCCCTGGGAGTTAAGCCAAACCGCCTTCTCAAGCGGGATGACGTCGACGACGACAACGCGGAAGATGACGATGACGACGACGACGACGACGACGACGACGACGACGACGACGACGAAGAACGGCCTCTCCTCCGTTCTCTCCTCAGTATTACCTGGATGGCTGAGATGAGATCCGTTTACCACCCCTAGTGGGCACGGGAATATAACGCACCGTCGAATTTATGACGGCCGAGGCCGAATAAATCGCGGATTACACGACTTGTCGAGCGCATTGAGAGGAGCTTCCTGGTCCTCCCGGTCGTCGACTTGTTGGAATTTATACCCGCGTTTGAACCCTTTCGGGCGCATTACGCCCGCTAAGAGAGATATCCGCGTGTCTTATGAGGTGTGTTGCCGCACCTCTCTCGGCGCGGGATCTTCAGATAAATCATACGTTTATGGCATTCTTTCGCTCGTTAAACGGCTACTTATTAATTGAATCGCGCGCCCGAGCCCTGATCGCACTATCGGAAATTAATGGTTTACTCGAGAGGAGGGGTCGAGTAAAACAGGAAAACGAAGATAAGCGACAAATGGGGGTAAAAACAGGAGGAGGGGGAAAAAGGGGGGAAAGAGAGACGAAGAGATGCTGAATACGAAGAAGCGGGGAATTTCGATGTAAAGGCGCGATCGCTCGTATAATTGATAACACCGCACGCGCACAGAACGCGTGCCGGGACGATTACCGAGGGCGAGGCGAAATGCTCCCGAGCATTTCGAGCGCGGTGTTAATTCAAGGGCCGATTTAACGATACTATCCCTTGAAAGTTAGATACCAAATATCCGAGCGTGAGCCGACGCGACGCTGCATATAAACGAGTATAACGTATAGAATGTATACGAGTAACGTACGCAGGATCTTGTTTCCTGCTTCGCGCTAACATTCCGGCGGACATTTTCGCCGAACGTTTTCCGCTGCGGGAACGATTTCGAAAATCGAGTCGCGAGCGACGGCACCGTCGGCGGCCAGAACTGCTTATCTCGCTCTAATACCACGTCGTCGACGTTTGCGTTATCACCAAACGACGGATACAAGAGAAACCGATCTCCCCTCCGTGTCTCTCCCTCTCTACGCGCTCTCTCTCTCTCTCTCTACGTTTAACTTATCCTTCTTCTCCCTCGACAATCCCCGTTGGAAAACTTGGCATGACCGGCACCGCTATCTATTCAATTTTCGCAAAGTTGGCGGAGTCGTTGCCAAGAAAACCGACCGGTCGTCGGTCGGTCGGTCGGTCGGTCGGTCGGTCGGCCGGACATTTTGTCTTTTCTCGCCTCTCTCGCGAAAGAAAGATGATGGAAGTCGCTTACGGAGAGAGGATGGAAGGAGAAAAAAAAAAGACGAAAGAGGAGAAGAGGAGGAAGGGCGTGCGCGCTTTCCCGCGCGCGGACTTCCTTGAGTTAGTTATGGCGAGAGATAGCGGCGGAACGCGTTCCTGTCCGCCGGGGCGATTTTTCATTTCGTTCCGCGGCGCTGTATTAGCACTTAATCGTATGCCGCGCCGTTGATCTATCAACGCGCGGCACTCGTTCGCGGCTCTCAGAGAGCGCGGGGGAATTTTATTTTTGTATCTTGATAAGTGGAGTACAGTTCTCTCGCTTCAGACGATCTATAAACTCACGGCAATATTCGAGAGGAGGTACTCTATTCCTTTTTTTTATAGGCACACATGTGCATGGTAGTGTACGTAATGTGTCACTATGTCATGCAATATAATTTTATTTTTGGATATTTTCTCGCAGATGAAATGTTCGCGCCCCGAGCTGTATTATGCATTAAAGATCGTCTGAAGCTGATTAATACTCATATTCACGTGCACATACTGATGTATGCAAATGCAATTTTAAGAGAGCAAGAGACATAAGATCGTTCGAACAAAAGAAAGATGATATCTGTGTCAAATAAGGCTATGTTCCGATATTCACTGCCAATGCTGAAAATATATAGTTTATGTCACATATATTATAGATTTTCAGTGCTGGCAGTGAATATCGGAACGCAGACTAAATAAGTTTTCATTAAATACATCAATATATGTGTGAAACAAGAACGACTGGAATAATTGACTAGCTAACAGCATGTGACAGGATATCTTTTGTATTTCCGATCTTGATATTTCTAAATTATGGGCCAGTTTTCATATAGATTTTCATATAATTGTACAATTTAAAATAGAATATGTGATCTTACGATGCACCAGGATAAGGGTCGACTCGATTCTTTCGAAAAAGAAACTCAATCTTTCTGGCCATGTCCTCCGTGTAGATTGATTTGCATTTCTCAAAATTGACCCTGCGTCTTACTTGAGTCGGTTTCTCATAATACCTGGTGCGCCTGTATTGGCCAAAGATATCCTCCTTGGACAATATTCGATTTAATATGCGACATGCCTTATCTACGTCGTTGTTCTGTACAAAGATGGTGCGACTGATGAATTGAGCGTGCCTGCCGAGACCCATCTGAGAAAGAGATATCAAGAACAACCACATAAATTCATGCATTTTCTGCGATCTGCTTATATAAAATTATGATATACTACTTTTATATAAAATTATGATATACTACTTTTAACTTTACTGTCAGCACAAATATAATTTCCTCGTAAATAGAAATAAAAAAGAAAGCTTAAAATACATATTTACCAAGATTATTATAATACCGCGAGAATAAATAAAATGTCACATTACATGTTCGTGAGTTTAAAGAGAATATCGAACGTCGAATTAATTATAATAATATTAATCATTAATACACCGTCGAATATTATTAATATTATTAATACATATTATCGTGCGGTTCGATTTGTAGGTTAGGTGGAGAACCATCAACTGTATTCGCACTATTCTCATTGAGTCTGGTGATCACGTTTCACTCTTCACACTTTCACGAAATAAATAACTTTTCTCAGAGAGAATCGTGACGAATAATTGAGAAATATCGCGAGGAAATAATTGATTCATTTGTAAATTGACATACCTTGCACTCGAGAATCCGAACGTAACCAAATATTCCCTTCGGCGCAGTGATGCAAGTGTCGCCATCTAACAGCATCTGAGTATCTTCCACGACGCCGAACGACACAAGTAACGCCATCTAGCGGCAGCAAATTGACACAAGTTCCGAAGCTTTAAACGGTAAACAAATAAGAATATTTATCACACAACACAGCAGGGAAGGGAGTCTGAATTTAACAATCGATCAATACAAGCTATTTTTTTATACAGGTGTCATACAATTTGTCCTTCAAGTCGCATTAATATATAAAATACATAAGCAAGAAGCGCGCAGAATTAGAGATAGAGGTTAACCATTCGAGAATAAGCGAAATTCTAAAAGAATCGGAGCAAAAGAGAGCATAAATCGAATGCAACCGCGCGTTTATCGATACCTAACATATAAATAGATATACCTAATTATCCATTTCCGGCGGGTAAATCGCAGAAGAATCGTACATGTCCTAAGAAGAGCACGTTTAAGAGCGTGATGATAAGGAAGTAGGCCACCAGCCAATGGACGACCTCGAAAGAAACACGAATACGTTTTCAGGAAGTTCTTTTACGCTCTGGAACGTTGCTGCATGTCGCGATGATCCTTACAGGTGAAGCAGAAGATACGCGAAAAAAATATGTATGTGCATGAATTACCTCTTGGTCTTTCAAATTGTAACCGAATCCCCATCGACATATGCAGAGCCACACGCTCAATGACAGTAGGAGCAAAGTGACGGCGAACGGGGAAGCGTATACGTGTACGACAAACATTTGTTCATGTCGTACGATCTCTCATATATTATCCGATTTGCCCGACGACACGCGCATATTTCGACACGAGACGCTGTGTATCGTTTTATCCGTTTCATCGAGCTTAGAAGCGTGCGACGTATTCGAAATCTTGTTTACGATTCATTTCGCTCGCTATATTCTCTTCTCCTCGAAACGAATCGAGCCACTTCGTCGATTTTATTCGTGTCGCAGATATCGACGATATAAGAGGGCGGAGGCTATCAACGGATCAACGCTGCGAGCGGCTCTTTTAATCGGGCCTCTCGCTAATGGTACACGCGGTATGATTTCGCGATATGCTGACAAGTTTCGGCCGAAAGGCCTTGCTTGAAAATTGTACTGGGAATTTCGCGGAGAAGTTTCGTGCGCCAAGAGAGAACTGACAGATTCGAAAGCGATGCACTTCAGAGAGACAACAGAGAGCGAAAAATAACGGCGCGTATTATCGGAAACGTCATCAGTGGCTCGCGCTACACTCGCGATAAGCGTCAGCGTTTCCGTTATTTCGGTTGAACCGCTCGATTCTCCAGGCGAGATTGGCGATAATTGTTTGATCAATAATATACTGTTCCGTCGCGGCTGTCAAAAACGAGTTCCCCCATCGGGAGATGCTCCTCCTTCTTATACGTCGAGTGAGAAGAATATTTAAGGCTCGCTGTTAAAAATGCCCCCGAAAAAGAAAAGGGACACTGTGATGCTGGAACTGGATCTCGCAGAGTAAGCTTTAATTATACGACGGTCTCCGCGGTATTCACTGCGACAAGCGTATTCTCGTCTTGGTTGGACAATACGGTAACGCGTTGTCGAAATAAACGATCGATTCGAATCGGCTTTTACAGATCGGAGCCGAAAATCGTGGAGCCGGCTGAGCCAGAAACCACAAAATCGAGGGTATCCTTGACGGTCGGGGAAACATATGGTCCTCGAGTACGTCTCATCAGCGAACAAGCTGAAGAGGAGAGCTCGGACGACGAACTGGAGTCGGAGAGCGAAGAGGAGGACAGATACCTTCAGAGGGACCAGCCGGAGGTGCCTTCCGAGTTTTGGCACATACAGAAGCTCATCAAATACATGAAAGCTGGCAACCAGACCGCTACCATGGTGTCCTTATGCCTCCTGAAGGATTACGATCTTATGAACAAAGTACACACGTTCCACTAATTCTGCATATTATGTTTCTTGAATGTAATGATTTTCTTGAAATCTCCCCCCCCCTCATTTGATTGAACTTGCAGGATATACAGAAGACTATTCAGGGGATGGGTGGTCTCGAGGTCCTCGTGAACCTCCTCGAAACGAAGGATATCAAGTGTCAGAACGGTTCGCTGTCGGTTTTGCTGCAAATTGCGACTTCGACAGAAATGAAGCGGCATCTGATTGACTTGGACATCACGACGCCGTTAATTCAGATGCTGAAGCATCCCGCCAGAGATATTCAGGTGGTTTATCAACCTCTGAGTCGCTTGTGCTTAATGAATGTTCGATGTGTCGATTAATCATCACTTTACTAGCTCGTCCGGAGTTTGATCAACTTACCGATTAACGAGATTCTCCGTCGCTCGAATGCGTCTACAAGCTAAATTCCACATTTCTCGACCGCGTTATTGTAATGATGCTCAATTTGACTACGCGTACAGGAGGGTTAATTTTGCCTCCAAGGTTCTGGCGACCGAGACGATGGCGATTATAGCTCAGGTGCGGAAGGCCAGGAAGCAGATTCGAATTCGCAGCGGAATACCGCTCATAGTGAGTGCAATCAGCTCTTTGTTACGTAACGGAAGAGAAGATTGGAAAAATCAGCATAGAGCGATCGAAATTTTACTCGACAGCTAGACGTGATGGACGTGCCGGACGAGGTTCTCCGTCGCCCGTACGACGAATTGAACGAGACCAACAAGGAACTCGTGGCGGTCGCCGTGGGTTGCGCTAAGGTCCTGGACTCCCTCAGCAGTAGTCCAAAGGTCAAAGAGGAGCTGCGCAAGCACGGCGTCGTTCGCTTGATGTCGCGCTTCTTAAGATCCAGGCACACCCAGCTGATCGTACCTACGATGGGCGTCGTGCAGCAGTGTGCTGATCTGGTTTACCGCAAACTTGCTAGTTAATAGATCGATAGAGAAACGATATCAATTTTTCGCGCCGTTGCAGAGGCGCACCCTCGCTAATGCGCTCGCGCGTTCGCAGAACGTCTTCAGGGAGGAGTTCGAGCGGGTCGGCATCATCGACGAGCTGGTGCGCCACTTGAAGAACGACAATGTCAAGCTCAAGGAGAACTGCGCCCTGGCGATCTTCAAGTGCGCCTCGAACCAGGAGACCCGCAACAGGGTGCGAAAGTCCGGCGGCCTGGACCCGCTGTGCCGGCTCGTGCAGAGCGATTTGGTCCGCGCCAATAAACACCTGTTGGCCGCGGTGACTGGTGCCGTTTGGAAGTGTGCCATGAGCCCGGAGAACGTGACGAGATTCAATCAGAACGACCTGGTGACGTTGCTGGTGCCACTTCTCGAGGAGAACGAGGACGAACGAGTCTTGGCCAACGTCGTGGGCGCCCTCGCCGAGTGCTGTAAAGATCCCGCTAACAGGACCGTCTTGAGGACTAACGAAGGCCTGCCGAAACTGGTAAAGATCGCTGTTTCAGGCGTGATGATTCGCGTCTCAGGACGAAACTTCGGTCCTCCATGCGAAACAACTCTGCCCGCTTGCTCTAACGATGAGCGTTAGGGATGTTGCTGGATACCGAGAGAAATCGGTTAGGAAAATACCGCAGAAAGATTACTACGTTCTGGCGCTTGACAATGATGAAACTAATAATCGCGGGTCTCTAATGACTGTCGCGCGAACCGTTGTTTCCCGTCGTGTTTTCTGACGATTCCGCAATGATCATTCGTTTCGTTTTTGAGACTGCGTTGCCTCGAACCAACTCGACGTCTCACCGCCGCGAATTTCCACGAGACCGTACGAATAACGGCTGGGAATTTTTGCAGATCCGCTTGTTGAGCGCCACGTACGAGCCATTGCTGGAGAACGTGCCGCTGGTGCTGAAGGAATGCGCCGTCGACGAGATGTGCATGGACATCATCAACGACTCGGAGCACCGGCTGGACGGCGTGCGACTGGTCTGGTCGCTCTTGAAGCACCCCAGCGACGTGATCAAGCGAAACGCCTGCCTCGCTCTGGTACCCTGCATCAAGCACGCCAAGGACTCGCCCGAGATGGTGCGCGCCTTCGTGGGCGGCTTGGAGCTCACCGTCAGCCTGCTCGAGAGCGGAAACATGGAGGTGCTTAGCGCGGTTTGCGCCATGATTGCGGAAATCGCCGCCGACCCGGAGAACCTGGGCATCCTGACGGATCACGGCGTCGTGAAGAAGTTGGCGGGCCTCGTGGGAACCGTGAGTGTGTGGCACCACTCGATGTAACCCGCTTGACTTCCGATTTAACGTCGAGGAATTCGTGGGTGAAGCACACTTTAGCGAAGAACAAAGCTATCAGAATGTCCTTTCTCGTCACGACCAGCGTCTCGTTCATCTGTTGATTCCGCATGTGTCTCTTTTTTTCTTTCCGGTGAAGGAGGACGAGAATCTGCGGGCGAACCTGACGTTAGCGATAGCTTATTGCTGCGAGTGGAACCGGAACAGCTACGAGTTCGGCAAACTGAACGCGGTCGCACCGCTCGTTAATTACATGACCAGCAAGAACAAGAGTGTGCTGAAGGGCGTCTGCATCGCCGTTTACCATTTGAGCAAGGAGCCCCTGAATTGCGTGACTATGCACACCTGCAGCGTGATCAAGGTACAAAAACACCGTACAAAGCATTTACGCTCCTCGTGCACGCGGCGCGAATCGTGTCGCTCGATGTTAAAAGGGCTCTGCGCGGGAATGAGTTTTCCTGAAAATCCCGGGACTCACCGCGCGAGAAAATAAGGAAATCGTCGCGGCAGCACCTCTCTCAACATCGAGCAACTCGATCAATGCCGCTGGCGACGCGACGAAATAGCAAATCGTCGCGGAGCACCTTCGCGTCTTGCCGTCTTATGTTGGAATTTCCGGATTTTGAAACAGCACGTTTTACGCCTGGTGGGCTCGGACGACCCGGAAGTGCAAATCGCAGCTGCGTCCACCATACGCCACATAAGGAAGCTCGCGTTGACGGCGGAGAAGTTCCACTTCAATGAAACGTAACTCCTCTCTTTTCGCTTTCTAGTCTCTCCTTTCGCCTTGAAGTCTGAAGAGCACAATGGGCAATTTCTATTTTAAATTTCTCGCGCACTATTTAATGATTTCTTCACGACTACGATTACAAGTCTTGAGAAATAATTCCTCGGGTCTAAATTATCCCTCGACTTTCGCTCGAAACGCCTCTGAGAGGAATTGCATGTTGGTTTCGTCACAGTCTCACTGTTGTGCCGTACGCGCTCTTCAAACTGAATCACCGCTTTTGCTACTTAGCGAAACTTTAATCGTCGTTTAATCGCCTCAACGCGGTTTTCCGCAGAAGCACGCTACAAGAAACCGACTTCCGTCTGTGAATTGAATTACCGCCACGGGAGGAGGAGACGGAAGAGAACGAGAACGGAGAGGGGTGTATAAAATAAAGATATTTATTTGTGCACATTCCTTAGTTGCAATTTACAATCATCGTCAATATATTTCAATTCACAATTAAAAACCCGTAAATCCGGCAATGATCGTAACACCGAGCGTGTCGTTAAGTTGACGAAACGATAAGCTTCAAGTGCAATTGAAAGAGTTGCGGGAAAATTTGGTCTCTGCGGTCACAAAAAAGCCGGACATGCGCGACGATCCGCGCTTGGGACATTGGATACACAACTACCGATAATTAATTACTCAGCATCAATACCAAAGTCTTCGCTTGAGCAACACATGTCTTAGGATTGGACGTCTACAATTTAAAAACGAAGAATGTAACGAGTAGTGTAGAGTACACTAAACGAAAAACGGTCGCATGCAAGTACGATGCAAGTTCACACGTGGGGCGTACAAAGTTACACTAATCGTGGATATCGTATCATTGGTCCGCCCTCTCGTCGCACTTGGCGGCTCGTAAACTAGCTAAGGAGGCTCGCTTCCCTGAATACTTTTGGAAAAAAAAAAAATAAGCGTCGAGACACGATTGTACGATAAGATGGCAACGGTGATAAGAAATTTATCGGAATCTCACACGCATATTATCACCGACAATCTTATCATTTTTCACACTTTGGATTTCTAAAATCTTTTTGCCACTCCTTAACAGTAGTGTCTAAAGACTTACGTAAGACATGCTAAAGGTTGGTTCCATCAACATTGATCTTATCCAGTTTAAATTGATAACGAGGACGATTTGAAATACAAAGCATCGAGGAATCATTGACGTACAATGAATATTAATGCTCAAACAGAGGACTGACCAAGACAACTAATGTGTGAACAACGATTTAAATCAATATCTAAATGTTCAATCGATGTTGATGGAGGCCCCCTGTAAAAGTAAGATACATTGGAATATATATATTAACAATTACTACATGTAAGGATGGCGGAGACACACGCGATGTTCCTATCCTATAATACAAAAACACTCCAAAGTTTTGCTTTTGAGCTCCATCTCGACCAACTGGAAACAAAACTCATATTTCCATACCATACGAAAACCTTGCTTAATCAGTTCTATCTCTATAACCAAACTATCACACTGTTTTGCAAATCATTTATTTTTCAGAGGGAGATATTTTTTTCTCTTTTGTTCTTGTGCCCTGGTGTATTCACTATTAATGCAAGATTTCACTCAACCTGTTTCCCTAACAACTTTAACAATCGTCATTTTTACCTGTGGCTATTTGCACAATTTTCAAATCAATATTTCTTATTGTATCATTTAAAGTGTAGAACACTTAGAAATATTCAGAAAAGCATAAAGTTCACAACTCTTCCTGTCAGGATCAAAAGAGAGAAAGAGAAAGAGAGAAAGAGAGAGAGAGAAAAAAGGAACGATTAGACTTTCACAAGTTCCTCTTATAGTGTGATTTGCATTCATCTCGTTAATCTTGTTTGGTTGTCAACAATGCTTCCGCTGCAGTTTTAACTGCTGCAACGAGAAAATAATTCTTACTTTTCTATTCATCTCTAGTTTTTCCAATGATATGTGGATATTAAGAGTAAGTTTTATCAATTGCCTTACCTGTGTCACGTGCATTGGATAAAAGTCTGTCTAGTCCAGGCTGATACTGCAAGAACTTTGGACGGACAACACGCCGATAGAGAATCAAGGATCCGTTATATTCAGTTGGTACCATCAACCATACATAAAAGACGCACTGTAAAAATTTTTTTCATTATTTACAAGATATGCTCTTGTTAGTATATCTCTGTTTTCAAGGTCAATGTCTCTAAAGCTGTACCTTGAACAGCCAGTAGACTGGAAACCAACAGACAATATATTCTGAGAAGAATTCTATTATAGTGAATACAGCAAACACAACCCAATAAGTGAGCCATTTTGTATCGTCCTCCTTCCTAGGGCTTTCCAGTGCCTTCATAGATTGATATGCCGGATAAACAAATCCAACTATGTTACAGACAAGCTGCTGTCCTAGTCCAAATACCAAGTACACAGCTAACAGTGTTAATAGTCCTACAAAAAAAAAGACCATGATCCCTAGAAGTTCCATGTCGATCAAATAATGAGCATTACATTATTTCACGAGAATTCAACGATGACCAAGCAAAGTAGAATTCGCTATTAAAAACCGTCGTTCTACTGGATCCATACAAAGATCAACAGGTTGCGAATTTTCCGGAAAGAAATAAAATGTATATCCGTCGGTAGAACGGGTGAGAGAAATGAAGGTAACGAGGAAAAGTTACGTATGATTGCATAACGAATGATAATGAGCGACGGAGCGGAGCAGTTGCGTCCACATCGCAGCGCAATTAAACATTATCTGAATGTACGCGGCTTCTGTGCAATCGATGCAAGAATGACTTCAGAAATTCCCGCGATCGTTCGTCCGCGGTACTCACCGAGAAAAATGTACAGGCGATCGACGCCGGTCTTCTCCTCCGCCTGGGCGAACAGCTTCGTCCACGGCTTGCTCTCATCCTTCAGTGCTTTCTCGAGGTAGTCTTTCGCGGCGACGATTCGGGCCATATTCGCAGAAACTCTCGGGCTACGGACCTTGTGCGTGCCGTTGGTCAGCCGTCTACCGCACTGTCGCAGTGTCGCCGCTGCGTGATATGGCCGACGTTCGATCGACCGATCGACGCTTCTTTCTTTCGACCTCGACCCTGAGGCGCGATGTTCGATTCAAACGTGCGATTGTACCAGAGGCTCCACCGGACGCGCGCTCCGCACATTTTATTTTCTCATCATCATATCACTTTTATCCCGTTATTCTCACCGCTGAATCAATTAATAATGAATTTCGTTGCGATAATGGCGACGTAGAGAAAAAGGAGCCGATGGCGCAAGCGAGATAAAAAATATATCAGCAAATACATCGGGAACGAAGGTTGTGAATATTTTACCAGAGTCTTCTTCGACTATCCGTTAACAAATTTTTATTTTTTTCTTTCTCTTACACTATTTATATTTACCTTCGTATTAATACATTAACAGACGGCTCAGATCTTAAGCGTACATTGTATCGCACAGGACTTATCTTTGCGGTAACTTTTGTCCACTGGAAATAAATACATCCGATCCTTAAGGATTTCTCGTTGTTTTTTTCTTTTTGGCAATTAGTTCGATATAAAACGTTACGTACGCGTCGAAGCATCGAATTCAATGTCAATGTGCGAGAATTGTACTCAAATTAATCGGTCTCATTAACACCCGCTCCTTCTCAATAAAATAATAATATACATCTTCGAATCAAAAAATCGCGTATATAAAGCATGTACATTTCTACACTAATTTGTAAATCTACCTATCTACCTCACTAAAAATACTGAGAAGGGGAGGGTGGTATGGGACTGTAAAATATACAATATTTTATGAAACGAAATTTGAGCAATTTTAAGCATTCACAGCTGGCCCTAGACTGATGTGCGTTAGAGGATTGAAAGGAGTCGTATTGCGAATTCCTTTCTCTAAGCACATCGAATAAATGTCAGCAGTAAGTTCGCTCAAGGGGATCTCCTTGTCGGCTTTGGCGGCTTTCACGCCGTCGTCTACCTTCTTCCTAATTTCACCCTCTATCGTCTGCAACCAGAAAAAGACCCAATGCATATATGATCATTTTCCAAGACGAAATAAAGTTTTAACAATCGATTAGTATTATTTTGTATAGGAAAGAGCGCTCATCAAGAGCACGAACCGACCTTGATCTCGTCAGCGGTGACGAGGTTGGCGTTCAAAATTCTCTCCTTGAAGCTGGTGAGAGGATCCCGAGTCTGCCGGACCTCTTGCACCTCCTCTCGCGTGCGGTAGCTAGTTCCCGGATCCGACATACTGTGTCCACTATACCTGTACGTCACAGTTTCCATGACCATTGGTCCTTTGCCTGAGGTGCAATAATCTATCGCGAATTTCGTGGCTTCCCTCACGGCTAACACGTCCATTCCGTCCACCTGTGTGCAGATTTCGGCATAAGCACCAGCATCAAGATAAGATCGATATCACTTATAAGATATAAAACACATGCACATACCCATATCCCGGGTACATAATCGCCTCTTGTGTAATAGTCTGTATTGGCTGAGGCACGCTCCACGCTGGTACCCATCCCGTACCCATTGTTCTCACAAACAAAGATGCAGGGTACATCCCAGAGTTTCGCCATGTTGTACACTTCAAACACCTGGCCCTGATTAGCCGCTCCGTCACCGTACAACGCCAGGCAGACACCGCCAGTGTTCAAGTACTTGTGCGCAAGAGCGATTCCAACTCCCAGTGGCACCTACTTCGTGAGGACGACGCTAAAGGATCCAGTTATCAAGGATCATATCTTATTCCAGGCCGAATACCGACCTGAGCACCGACGATGCCGTTACCACCATAGAAATTCTTGGAATACATGTGCATGGAACCACCCTTGCCCCTGGCATTGCCACCTTGTCTACCTGTTAGTTCTGATAACACACCAAATGTATCTATGCCCATCAAATATGTCCATCCATGTGCACGATAAGCTGTGATTACACAATCCTGAGGTCTCATAGCAGCCTTCATGCCAACTGCACAAGCTTCCTGTAAAAGACATACAAGTGAGTATGTGAGAATACATGCTGACTGTTGAGAAGCTCTTACTTGTCCAGAATACAAATGGCAGAAACCACGGATGATCTTCTCCTTATACAAATTACCAGCAGCTGTTTCCATGCGACGTATCATATGCAGCTGTCTAAATAGTGCAATGGCATCATCTCTAGTCACAGTAACTTGAGTGGAAGGACCAGAATCTAATTTGTGTAAGCGGTAAGGCTTCGTCTCGAAGGAAGCTTCAGTGGCATAGTTATTTTTTTTGCTTAAGAAAAACGAGGCCATCTAAAAGTAATAGCAGTTCGATCAGCTTGCAGCAATATGGAAATGATACAATATTATACATGTGCATGAATATGATAAGCATTACATTATATAATTTGGTATTTTGTATGCATTTTCTCTTCCGAGTGTTTATGGTATTGTGCTCTTGTTAATATCGATTTTGAAGACAGAAATTGCAAAAGGTAGCAGCGCTATTTACAAGAATACTGCACCGTTGAGTCGCGCGGGTGATAATTACCTTCCAGCTTCCAAACTGGGCGAGTATGCGAGGTAATGAAAGAAAACTCATGAAACATCGTGTCGTAACATCGATTGCAAGTAGCAATCACGAGATTCTATCACGGAACGCGATACAACGAGTTAGAGGTCATATGTACGTTACACCACATTGTTTCGTGCACCACTTACGTTTCGTCGGGACGATTGCGCGACTGCATTCCTAATGCAATTCGGTATCATTTTCTTCAGTAGCGGGCAAAAAAGGAGGAAAGTAGGAAGATGAACTTGAGCTTTACGTCCCTCACAGAGATCTTATGAGACACTTTGTCGTCAGAGACCACCTCTACCTGACACGGACCAGTGCGGACTAGATAAAGATACACTCCGTCCGCGATGTCAGGCTGACGTCGTGGGTCGTGGGTAGGGGCATGCTTATTGCATATTAAAAAAATGTTTACTGTCATCTTTAGGTAGTGGCGACCACAAAAGACGCCAATTTCTGACAACTTTTATATCTAAAAAACATAGAAAATTGTCGATTTATTTTTAATATTGTCGTAAAACTATTTAATGTTTAAAAAATATCATTACAATGTTTAAAATGTCGTTAAGAAAGAGAAAAGAAAAGGGAAAATGTCGGTCAAATAGTGCCGTCGAGTTGCATTACTTAAAAATATCAGCACGGCCGATTTGTCGTGGAGTTGTACTACGACCTCGATATTTAAGGATGGTAGCGACTCATAACAGATACTCCGGAACTATAGCAACGGATCTAACCACCAGAGAGGAAGCTGAGAGCGGCCAACACGGCGTTTTCGGCGACACCGATTTTTCGCACTGGGAATGGGCGCTATCTGCATCCATTTTGAGAGGGGAACTACGATGCTACAACCACTTTTAGGTCTCGACGGTAAAACCATCTGGTGGCTGTCCGTGCTACATCCACTTTCAGGCGGTTTATGTCCGTGCTACAACCATAATAGCATACTTGACAAGCACGGTCTCACGCATTGTTATGCATTTGTAACATGAATTAACATGTTAACATGCACAAAAAAATAAGAATTGAGATTGTATATGATTAATATCATGAAAATTATATACGATTTATATCGATATATAAATATATGATAATAAGATAATATTTCGTGTGTACCCAAAATTATTTTTCCAAAATATTTTAGCGTTACGTTAGTATTTATTTATATTCCGGCAGGCGTTTTTTAGTGCAGTTGTGTCCGTGTGCATGTGTTGCATTGAAAGTGTGCGTGACGTACGTGTGCATATACGCACTCACACACACACACACGTGTCATACGCAACAGATAGAATCTCAGGGTATATGCTTAAACATTTTCAATTGCCGTACGTATCTATGTAAGAATGTAGTCGGCACACACACACAGAGAAACTGCTCCCGTCTATCCGTCTGAAGTCCCGCCCTCCGCTCGGCTTGTTAAAGTTTTTCGGCTCGGCTCGGTTAAAGCTCGGAAGGTTAAAGTTTTCCAAGTTTATATATAATATGCGTTTTTTTGCTGCCCATTGTCAGGGGGAGCAGAATGTCCCCTGACTGTATAATACGTCTTATATATTACATCTATTGCCCACTGTTGGGGGGGGCAGATTGTCCCCCGACAATAAATTATATAAAATTGGGGTCAGGCCTATGCCTGAAAATATACTGTATTTACCCCGGGGGCATGCCTCCCGGGGAACATTTATTGTGTAAATTAAGTAGTATGCGAAGGTTAAAGTTTTCCAAGTTTTCTCCGTTGATATCTCCGCTTCTACTGAGAGTAGAGAGTCGCCACTTACGGCAAAATGTAGGGTTTTGAGAGGACTTTAATTTGGTGCCAGAAGCAGGCCTGTATCTCTAACCGTTTAGGAGATATCGAAGTTTAAAGTTTTCCAGCCTATCTCCGTCGATATCTAGCCTTCCTCCGTCGATATCTCCGCTTCTGCTGGGAGTAGAGAGTCGTCCATGTAGTCGAAAATGTAGGGTTTTGTAATGTAGGGTTTTGAAAGGACTTTAATTTGGTGCCAGAACCAGGCCTGTATCTCTAACCGTTTAGGAGATATCGAAGGTTAAAGTTTTCCAACCTTTCTGCGTTGATATCTCCGCTTCTACTGCGAGTAGAGAGTCGCCACTTACGGCAAAATGTAGGGTTTTGAGAGGCTTTAATTTGGTACCTGTCCGAAGCCTGTATCTCTAACCGTTTAGGAGATATCGAAGGTTAAAGTTTTCCAACCTTTCTCCGTCGATATCCAGCCTTCATCCGTCGATATCTCCGCTTCTACTGGGAGTAGAGAGTCGTCCATGTAGTCCAAAATGTAGGGTTTTGAAAGGGCTTTAATTTGGTACCTGTCCGAAGCCTGTATCTCTAACCGTTTAGGAGATATCGAAGTTTAAAGTTTTCCAACATTTCTCCGACGATATCTCCGCTTCTACTGGGAGTAGAGAGTCGTCCATGTAGTCCAAAATGTAGGGTTTTGAAAGGGCTTTAATTTGGTACCTGTCCGAAGCCTGTATCTCTAACCGTTTAGGAGATATCGAAGGTTAAAGTTTTCCAACCTTTCTCCGTCGATATCCAGCCTTCATCCGTCGATATCTCCGCTTCTACTGGGAGTAGAGAGTCGTCCATGTAGTCCAAAATGTAGGGTTTTGAAAGGGCTTTAATTTGGTACCTGTCCGAAGCCTGTATCTCTAACCGTTTAGGAGATATCGAAGGTTAAAGTTTTCCAACCTTTCTCCGTCGATATCTCCGCTTCTACTGGGAGTAGAGAGTCGTCCATGTAGTCCAAAATGTAGGGTTTTGAAAGGGCTTTAATTTGGTACCTGTCCGAAGCCTGTATCTCTAACCGTTTAGGAGATATCGAAGGTTAAAGTTTTCCAACCTTTCTCCGTCGATATCCAGCCTTCATCCGTCGATATCTCCGCTTCTACTGGGAGTAGAGAGTCGTCCATGTAGTCCAAAATGTAGGGTTTTGAAAGGGCTTTAATTTGGTACCTGTCCGAAGCCTGTATCTCTAACCGTTTAGGAGATATCGAAGGTTAAAGTTTTCCAACCTTTCTCCGTCGATATCCACCTTCATCCGTCGATATCTCCGCTTCTACTGGGAGTAGAGAGTCGTCCATGTAGTCCAAAATGTAGGGTTTTGAAAGGGCTTTAATTTGGTACCTGTCCGAAGCCTGTATCTCTAACCGTTTAGGAGATATCGAAGGTTAAAGTTTTCCAACCTTTCTCCCGACGATATCTCCGCTTCTACTGGGAGTAGAGAGTCGTCCATGTAGTCCAAAATGTAGGGTTTTGAAAGGGCTTTAATTTGGTACCTGTCCGAAGCCTGTATCTCTAACCGTTTAGGAGATATCGAAGGTTAAAGTTTTCCAACCTTTCTCCGTCGATATCCAGCCTTCATCCGTCGATATCTCCGCTTCTACTGGGAGTAGAGAGTCGTCCATGTAGTCCAAAATGTAGGGTTTTGAAAGGGCTTTAATTTGGTACCTGTCCGAAGCCTGTATCTCTAACCGTTTAGGAGATATCGAAGGTTAAAGTTTTCCAACCTTTCTCCGTCGATATCCAGCCTTATCGATATCTCCGCTTCTACTGGGAGTAGAGAGTCGTCCATGTAGTCCAAAATGTAGGGTTTTGAAAGGGCTTTAATTTGGTACCTGTCCGAAGCCTGTATCTCTAACCGTTAGGAGATATCGAAGTTAAAGTTTTCCAACCTCTTTCTCCGTCGATATCTCCGCTTCTACTGGGAGTAGAGAGTCGTCCATGTAGTCCAAAATGTAGGGTTTTGAAAGGGCTTTAATTTGGTACCTGTCCGAAGCCTGTATCTCTAACCGTTTAGGAGATATCGAAGTTTAAAGTTTTCCAACCTTTCTCCGTCGATATCTCATATCTCCGCTTCTACTGGGAGTAGAGGTCGTCCATGTAGTCCAAAATGTAGGGTTTTGAAAGGGCTTTAATTTGGTACCTGTCCGAAGCCTGTATCTCTAACCGTTTAGGAGATATCGGAAGGTTAAAGTTTTCCACCTTTCCTCCGTCGATATCTCCGCTTCTACTGGGAGTAGAGAGTCGTCCATGTAGTCCAAAATGTAGGGTTTTGAAAGGGCTTTAATTTGGTACCTGTCCGAAGCCTGTATCTCTAACCGTTTAGGAGATATCGAAGGTTAAAGTTTCCAACCTTTCTCCGTCGATATCCAGCCTTCATCCGTCGATATCTCCGCTTCTACTGGGAGTAGAGAGTCGTCCATGTAGTCCAAAAATGTAGGGTTTTGAAAGGGCTTAATTTGGTACCTGTCCGAAGCCTGTATCTCTAACCGTTTAGGAGATATCGAAGTTTAAAGTTTTCCAACCTTTCTCACGACGATATCTCCGCTTCTACTGGGAGTAGAGAGTCGTCCATTGTAGTCCAAAATGTAGGGTTTTGAAAGGGCTTTAATTTGGTACCTGTCCGAAGCCTGTATCTCTAACCGTTTAGGAGATACGAAGGTTAAAGTTTTTCCAACCTTCTCCGTCGATATCCAGCCTTCATCCGTCGATATCTCCGCTTCTACTGGGAGTAGAGAGTCGTCCATTGTAGTCAAATGTAGGGTTTTGAAAGGGCTTTAATTTGGTACCTGTCCGAAGCCTGTATCTCTAACCGTTTAGGAGATATCGAAGGTTAAAGTTTTCCAACCTTTCTCCGTCGATATCCACTTCATCCGTCGATATCTCCGCGTTTACTGGGAGTAGAGAGTCGTCCATGTAGTCCAAAATGTAGGGTTTTGAAAGGGCTTTAATTTGGTACCTGTCCGAAGCCTGTATCTCTAACCGTTTAGGAGATATCGAAGTTAAAGTTTTCCAACCCTTTCTCCGTACGATATCTCCGCTTCTACTGGGAGTAGAGAGTCGTCCATGTAGTCCAAAATGTAGGTTTTGAAAGGGCTTTAATTTGGTACCTGTCCGAAGCCTGTATCTCTAACCGTTAGGAGATATCGAAGGTTAAAGTTTTCCAAACCTTTCTCCGTCATATCCAGCCTTCATCCGTCGATATCTCCGCTTCTACTGGAGTAGAGAGTCGTCCATGTAGTCCAAAATGTAGGGTTTTGAAAGGGCTTTAATTTGGTACCTGTCCGAAGCCTGTATCTCTAACCGTTTAGGAGATATCGAAGGTTAAAGATTTTCAAACCTTTTTCGTCGATATCTCCGCTTACTGGGAGTAGAGAGTCGTCATGTAGTCCAAAATGTAGGGTTTTGAAAGGGCTTTAATTTGGTACCTGTCCGAAGCCTGTATCTCTAACCGTTTAGGAGATATCGAAGGTTAAAGTTTTCTAACCTTTCTCCGTCGATATCCAGCCTTCATCCGTCGATATCTCCGCTTCTATTGGAGTAGAGGTCGTCCATGTAGTCCAAATGTAGGGTTTTGAAAGGGCTTTAATTTGGTACCTGTCCGAAGCCTGTATCTCTAACCGTTTAGGAGATATCGAAGGTTAAAGTTTCTAACTTTCCTCGATAT